TCATGACAGGAAAAATCAAACATGCCTCAAGGAATCCAATGTCCCTAATCAGCAGGAAATAGTTTAATGATAACTATTTCTCCTTTTCCTCTCTGTCCTTTTTTTTTTCCTGTGTTAGAAGGTTGATGAGAAGAAGATAAATACTCACAAAGTAACTAAAAGTCTAGCTACAGGCGTGACATGTCCTTTCCATGAAGCTTGAGAATGCACTGAAATACAACATATTCCTCTCGATGAGTTTACAATATCTTCTTTTCAATGTGTCTGGGTACCATTACTATCACAGGTCTTAAAGACCAAGCTTTTGTACAATCAATATTCAGTCCTAGGCTGTAACCTTTTGAGTAATACTATAAAAGAGTTTGCACTATGAATTACATAATGTAGGCTTGCTTTATATGTTTTATAAACGTCTGCTGAAAAGTGATAAATAATTGAATAGAGTACAATTTTTGCAATCATTTCAATAATAAGAACCTTAACACTATATCTAATCTAGGGTAGAAAACCTATAAACACTGGTAGAGTTGGTAGAATTTTCTGCCTCACAGTAGAGAGCAACAGAAGGTCCAAAATCCAGAGTGTGATTTAATCAGACCCAATATAGGAGCCACAAGTATCCAAGGTTTCACAGCTCCTGGTTCAGGTAGCAGACACAGGCAAGAGGCCTGAACTAACCCAGTACATGAAAGATGCAGAGTCACATTATGAGAGTCATCAACCAGCTGTGTAGAGTGCTGAAAATCCATGGAGGATGACATACTTGCCTTTGAGTAAGACCTCAGACAGAAGGGAGTCACACAACTTCCAGCCCAAGCTACAGACCCATGAAAGAGAATTGAGCAGACACAAGATAGTGTCTGACCCTCAGAACAGGACTAAAGGTAGAGTTTCAGATCCTACATATCAATTCCATGACATAAAGAGATATCTCAATGTTCCTATGAGTAATCTCTTGAACATTGTAAATACCTCCATTGAAAGAAGGAATTTAAAAAAAAATAAAAGAAAGCAAAAATCTCTACCAGCAAACCAATTATAGATGTTCAAGTTGCAACATAAAAATAAAAACAAAATGGAAAAAAATCAAAATAGTATGGTGTTCCAGGATAGTCCTAGTTCCACAGTAATGATTCTCAGAGAGAATGATTTAGAAAAAACTCCCAAAAACAAACAATTTAAAAGCATGAGTACAATTATGTTGAAACAACTCAAAGATGATACGGCTTCACTCCAAGCTCACAAAAATGAACTAAATGATGAGGTTAATCCAATAAATAAAGATAGAATTCAATGAAGACATTTATTGGAAAAACCCTAAATTGAATTGAAGCTGGAAATGGAACACTCAATATAAGTCAAATGGAAAGCTCAGTGGAAAGCACCAGTATGCAAAACAGATTCTCCAGAAGATATGGCAGAATAATTGTACTATTCAGTAAAAATCAAAGATAAATTAAATGTGTGCACATGCACAGGTATGCATGTTTACAGAACACAAGAGAACTTTGAGATATGATGGAGTGAGAAAATCTTCTAATTATGGGCATAGATATTATTGTGACTATTCTCTATATGACATATGATCCAGCTGCCTTACGCCTGAACTTTACTCATAGGCTTATACCCTGTAAGTCTTATACTGTCATTCTGGTTAGAAACCCAGGTCTACTGAGGCCCTAGACCTTAGTATACTGCTATTGTTACTTTGCTATATTGTCATGTTGTCAAATAACCTTCTAAATATTTATCTTTATGCCAATAACACAGGCTGCTCTAAAACTTGGTCAGGGAAGGTCTCAAACTTGATCAGAATTTTTTTGACAGTGCTCCCACTTGTAGGTTTTCTATGCTTTAGTGGATGATCCCACATTCAAGCATATATGGGCAGTATTACTTAATAGGTTATCAAAACAACAAAAATAAGACATGTAATAGAGAAGAAGGGATGCCAAAAGCACATTGGGAAATACAGGAGGGAAATGAAAGGTATATATGATCATATAAATATATATATATATATGAAAAACAAAGAATCTTAGAATCTTAAAAATAAAAATAAAAGAGAATAGGCAAACAAACATATACACATACATATACCCACATATACATATGTACAATATATTGCATATACAATAGATATGTATGCATGCGTAAAGCAAAAATACACATGTACTTAAATACAGATGCATACATAGGACATTAATAATATATTTTAGGACCAAGTGCAGTAGAAAAATGGAGTGAAAGAATCTAAATCTTTCAGGGTGATTAAAAAAAAGGACAATATAGATGATAGAAGCACAATATTTAAAATTAAAATTCTTTTAAAGATCATACATAGAAATAGTATATGCAACAGTGATATGGAGTGCTGGTACTTACCCTTTATAATTTAGGGGAGAGAGAGGGATTTCTTCCTTTGCTTCCTATTTGTTGAACAGCTGTTGTACTTGTAGCATTATATTACCACTTCTCACAATACATCTCAGAGCTAAAACAGGAGTCTCTGAGATTAGTAACCTTCATTGCCTGAGCACTTATACTATAGTTGTCAGCTGCTTCGTATTCCAAAACCTTTGTTTCGTCCTGGTATTAGGCATACAATTAATTCAGGACCAGAAGTTTATTCTTGTTCCTATCTGCACTCGGTATGGTTTGTATAAAATAAACCAATATGATATATCAGTGTAATGTGTATATTGTATGACCTTAAAACATAGATGTGCTGTGTTGAGATGAATATAAATCCAAATATTGTCACTAGAATATTGACACCACAATAAAAATTCAGAAATCTGTGAAGTATGCACATTGCCTTTCTCATTAGGCTTTATCTTTCGTTTCCTCCCTCAATGGCTCCACATATGGATAGGCTGCAAGGAAAGTCAATACCACACCTGCATATTTAATGCTAATGCGGGGATGGCTCCAGCTCCCATGGGTGATAGCACTCTTCAGCCCTAATTCTCAGCCTCTAAACAGGTTTACCTAATCCTTGGGCTTTGACCATCTTCTGTGGCCCAGCCAACACCCACTCTTCTCTCTTGAATTGCTATGTGAGTCCAACACACTCTCACAGTGTTTAGTTGTGTGCAGTCTCATCATTTCCAACGTTTGACTAGAGTGGCCCAAGACACTTCTATTGGGAGAGGGAAAAAGATACAACTAGGGAAAATTAATTACAACCCTTTAAGGTCAATTTAAACCAAGAATTCTTAGCCTGTGGATCAAGACAGTTTGGGGGATGCATATCAGATACCCTCCATTTCAGATATTTGCGTTATGGTCCATAGCAGTAGCAGAATTATATTTTATGAGCTACCAGTGAAATAGTTTTATGATTGGGGTCACGACAACATGAAGAACTGTATTAAAGGGTGATAGCATTAGGAAAGTTGCGAACTACTGATTCAACTGTCAGGTAAAAATGTAATGTAGCATCATGTCATTATAATTCAGACCAAGTTTTCCAGACTCGGGATTTATACACCCCTTTTGAATATGAGGTGCAGATCTGCAGGGTATTATGCAAATAGCCATCCAAGATAGTATTTCATAATTATTGTATTAAATAATCACTTCAAATATAAAAGTACAACATCAAATAATTTTAAATATCATACTGGTACTTGTGAAACATTCGTATGTTATGGTGTCTCTTTCCTTAGACACCATAAGTGAAAAACTCTTTCCTAAGTAGCCCCCTAAGCCACTGTTGTCTTTTGAGAGAAAGCTTCAGGAGAACAGATAGATGTAGGTTCCTGTATCCTCTCCAAATCAGGCACTAATAAATTGGCAGATCAGACTCATGTTCAACAACTTCCCTTGGATTCACACCTGCCAGCTCTCTACAGAAATAGTGCCGGGAGACTTTGGCAACAAGTTAATTTCTATTTGTTTTATTCATTCTCCATTGAAGAAAATGTTCGGCTGCCAGTGTGTTCAACATATCTAATTCTTAAGTACTTTGGTTGTTAGCCTAAACTCTTAGTTAAGTGATTCTTCATAAAAAGGAAACGGTACCAACATCAACATCAGTGTATATTCTCCACTGAAAAATCACTTCCCTTCACTTCCTGTTCTTTGGGCATCCATCTTACACATAATGTGAAATTTTTCCAGACATTTCACTGTCTTTTCTAAATGTGTGCATATTTCAAGTGACTAGTCATTTTTCTTTTTGTTTCAGGAAAGAAAGGCAAATGTATGAGAAAAGGGATAGGATGGGTGAGGTAAACAACATAAACCTCCTCACTGCTGTCTCCTGTGTAAAGGGTACAAGAGAAAATTGTTTGTTTTATTAATCATTTCATTTTAAATCAAAGAAGCTGTGCAAGACGAACGAAGGATGTCAGCAAGGATGACATGACAAAGATGCTACTCAACTGCAGAGTGCTTAGACCACTGAGAAGAGACAAATGGCATAAACTGTCTTCTGGGGATGGAGCAGGTAGCTGAGCAGGTCAAGTCACCCCGGCAGGCCACACACTGCCAGTGAAGAAGTATACAAAACACTTCACAGTACAGTAACATGTTAACTGCTTATAAATCGTGTTTGTAATAGAAGATAAATGTCCTTGCATCCAATGGTTTATCTTGTATCACTAAAATAAGAAACCATGAAGCCTATTGTGAGTGTTTTCAGCTGATGGTGTGGTCGATAAATCAAAAGACAAAGGAACAACATTTTGTGTCTTGTAACATGCAACATAAAAACCTTTGTTTCTTTACCCTAAAGGCACAACCATGGCAATTTAAATTTCATACCCTCCAGTACTCTTCTTGCATAATTTATCTTATAAGTAAGACCTCTGTTTTCTGTATATCTTTGTCTTTTATAAATATTGCATTCCTCCATTTTCTGGTTCTAGTTTGCAGCATTGTCAGTGAAAGAGAAAACAAACTTGTAAAAGATACCTAGCCACACACCCTCCTGCCTTCTCACCCAGCTTTGTGTATCAGTGCAGACCAGGGTCCTGCTGCCCATGGATAGTTACCTTCTTGATGGTCTCCAGCATGGACCGCCCTCCCTGCCAGGGCTTGGAGTTTTTCCTGATACATGACAAGCTTGCCATACTGTGCCACTTGCGGTCCTCCAGCTTCTTATGGAAGGCATTTGCAAGCAGAAGCACCGTGTCATAGATGTAAAGGTTAGAAATCTGGAAAGATATTAGATAGAAGTCATTACACTCTCCACTCTAGCCATCCACATGGAATTAAGACAGCTTAGCAGCTCTCTCATGCTTCACTGAGTTGCTTACTAGGCAGGATGTTTTTCTTTTCATTCCTTAGCTAGTTTTACCACTAAGAACAAGGTCTATCTGATAGTATATCTCAATTGCTTTTCTGGTTTATTTGGGTATGAAAGAGAAGCCTTAAAAAGCATAGCTTTGACAAAGGCAAGGCTACTGTTAGTGCTAGTCCTTAGAAAATAACCTGGCCCTTATTCTCTGAAGAGGCAGACTTCTTAAGACACTTAAATAGAAAGGGCCTGAAGTAATAAAGTTTCTCAGTATGTCAAGTTTCTGTGTTTTGGTTAACCATATGGATTCAACTTTCAATGTGGTTTCAAATTTGACCTTATATGAATGTCACAGGATCCAAAGTGGGAAGCAATCACTTTTGTGTGTTTATAGAGAACTCTGTAATGAGGAAGGACAGTTATCAGAAGTAGTCATAGACATCAGAATGACTAGGTGCATACAAAGAGCTGTGGGGATACACAGACACCAAAATCGACTGACAGGACAAATGCCACGACCAGCTGCTGGTCGCCTGTGCATGTGTGCTTTTGGTAACATTTTTGTCTACAGTAATCATGCTTTCTACTTGAGTATCTAACTGAATTACAGCTGAGGTTTTCTCCAAGGTCTACTGCAATCTTTAAAGAACTCTTGCCAGGATGACCGTGCACCCTATCAATTATTTACCAATGTTGCCTAGTTTTTAAAAGGAGAATAGAATTTATCCAGGATGCATGACAATAAACAGATGTGAGAGGTCATCAAAAGCCACTAAATGTCATTTATTGACTCTCAGAAGGAAAACTTCACATAAAATAAAGCTGAGCAAGAGAGGTAGTGATAGAAACTCATTTTCACCTTGACTCACTCCTGCTTTCTTAGTTTTTCAAGTGTCACATTTTCACAGTTTTTCATGAAAACCATGGAGAGGCTATGTAGATTGTCAGTGATTGTAATTAATCAAGAAGGAAATTCACAATGTCATCTCTGCAAACTACAGAATGCTGCGGAGATCCAGCCGCTGGGATAATTAGAGTCTGATGCTATGCACAGTCGTTAGACAGAATGTCCCAACAATACCTTGTGGGTTTTGTTTCACATTTCAGAGAGTCTTTAATAATCTGGGACTGTTAGGCATCATTTTATGTGCAAATTTATAGAAGAGGCACACTAGTAGGTGTGGGAATTTCCTTGACGAGGTATTGAAGATACTTATGTACTCTGTAAGACTGAAGTAATTTTTATGCGGAAATATCTGGGCAGGCTGCTGTTACTAACACCCAACACAGGTAACTGTTGTAGGAGCTAGGATAGACTGGAAGAAATCTACTAGGAATGAAGTGTAAGATCTGAAACTAAAAGTATCCCATTAATTCTTGTCAGGCTGAGAGTGCAAGGATCCTATAGAATAATGAAAAGACACATGAAAGATGAGTGGATCATAACTAATAATCCACACAAATCTTTCAACAGAATTCTCAAAGTGACATGAATGATGTCCCCTGTCTAGCCTCTCTTGAACCACCTGCTTTCCTCCTGTCCTGGACCACTCCATACACCTGCTTCCAACCTGTCCTGGACCACTCTATACCCCTCTTCCCACCTGTCCTGGACCACTCCATACACCTGCTTACCACCTGTCCTGGATCACTCCTAACACCTGCTTCCCACCTGTCCTGGACCACTCCATACACCTGCTTCCCACCTGTCCTGAACCACTCCTCACACCTGCTTCCCACCTGTCCTGGACCACTCCTCACACCTGCTTCCCAACCTGTCCTGGACCACTCTATACCCCTCTTCACACCTGTCCTGGACCACTCCATACACCTGCTTCCCACCTGTCCTGGACCACTCCTCACACCTGCTTCCTCCACCTCCATCTATATTTTGACCTTCCCTTTGCTTTGTGAGGGATAGCCTAACAGAATCCTTCCATGTGTTTGTTTTTTTCCTCCAAATAGCGAACATTCTGTTCAAAGGGTACACTATAAGAGACCTAATCCTTCTTTCTGCCTGATGACCTGGACAGTCCTTTAAAGAGTAATTTATTTCCTGAAAGTTTCATAGAATGTAATACATACATGGTTCCACTAATGCTTCCACTCTTTTTTCTCCTCTTCCTACCCTGAGCACTCACCCTCTTACTGTTCCCAATTGTCTACCCCATTTTATGCATTTTGCTTTTTCGTTGATCCACTGTGTTTAAACAGGACAACTCTCTCATACATTGGATGAAGGTATCTACTGAAGCAGAAGTAGCTGTGTCATTCCTCAAAGACAATGACTTCTCCTCCCCTAAAGTTCTTCACAGCCATCCTTTCTGTGGCTCTAAGAATACTCAGTTCATCCCTCCACTGAAATCTCTGTACTGTTAAGGCTGTGAATGAAGTTGTGAATGAAGATGCATGCTGTATGTCCCTTTTTAAAAATGTGTTTTGTCTTCTTCTTCTCCTTCTCCTTCTCCTTCTCCTCCTCCTCCTCCTCCTCCTCCTCCCTCTCCCCCTCCCCGCCCCCTCCCCCCTCCTCCCCCTCCCCCTACCCCCTCCCCCTACCCCCTCCTCCTCCTCCACCTCCTCCTCCTCCTCCATTTTCTTCTCCTTCAATTTCCTCTTGACTTACTAAGCAGTCTGGAACATACTTGGATTTTAATAAACCATTGACAAAATAAATCAAAGAATGAGACAAATGAAGATAAGAACATCAAGTTGAAAGTCAGAAGATTATGACAGATATTAAGACAAGGAATTTAGCCATTGCTTTTTCATACCTGACAGAGTTCAGAGAGTCATGTTTTTTTTTTTTCTCCTAGCTGAGACACGCTTTCTGAGCACCTGTGCTCACCATAAAGGCAAATGCTTAGAACCTGACACATGAGAGACACTTTCGATGCCTGCCACTTTCCTCCATTTGTCCACATTGCAAACAGCCTGGTCAGAAAGCTGTACTGACCTTTTCTGAGCGGTTAGTTCTCTAGTCTCTATTACTTCTTCCTCAAGCAGGTGCTCATTCTCCTTTGAGGACTACATTTGCACATTTCCTTTTCAACACCATCTATTGACATTATGGTCACAGTCTTCATGAGGTCTTTGACTCCTCCCACACAGTGATGCCAAGCCATCTGTCTCAGTATGTAAAAAGCTGCTTTCAAGTTTTATGCACACTTTCATTCCTTACACAGGAGTGACTGTCTGAAAATCTGAACATAACTCCATCTCTTACAACCTTGCACTCCAGCTCCCGTTCTCCCATAACTGATCCACATTTCTGCCATCACACTTGTTCTCTGACACCAGCAAACTCATCTGCCGCTTGCCCTGTAATACCCTCCATCCTTCTGCCGATCACCACTGGGTACAGTTTCTAGGCTGCCAGTCACACTAGACCTCTTCCTTTGTCTGTCTCCTGTTTCTGTTTTCCATAAAAGGGTTAGTAACTAGAACGGACACATGAATGCAGATGTGAGCTGTCTAGGAGATTGGAGTGGGAGACGGTCTCTCACTTGATCTTAGCAAAGTGCTTCTGACACAGAGTCCAAGACTGTATTAAACTGGTTCACAGCAGATTTGACTTGCACTGTGATCATATTGAATTTGCCTTCAAAGTAACAATTTTGAGCAGCTGTCAGACCAAGGCTCTTCCACCTAGATTTTATGTAATTGATTGTGGGCCTACTTGATTTCTGTGGAATTTCAAACTTAAGGATTATTACAAGTCAATACTAACAGTTCTGACCTTGATTATGTAATGCTACATAATCTTTTCCCTTACAGGTTTATGTCTTTTACAATTTTGATCAAGTGGAGATTGACACATTAGAATTGAGTTGGAGGACAGAAGTTTGTGAATGACCATCCAGAGGATATTTATCTAGGCATAATGAAAGGTTCTGACTCTGTACATCTCAAACTGACTTTAAAAGAATAGCTAGTGGCAAGCTGTACACATCAGAATGTATTCAGTGCCAGAAAATGAATTTAAAGTACATTTTAGGTATATCAAATTTTAGAGATTTGATTGGCATATGTAGGTGATTCAGTTTCACCCAATGACTTAGAAAAAAATAGTTTGGTCAACAGATTATTTGACATATTTTAGTTTTATAAGATCTCTGATATAATTTTTAAAGTAACTATATCATAATATTCTTAGTATTTGAACTTTTTCTTATTGACAGAATTTGTTTCCTTTTTATCTTTAAGATTGATAATGCTTGAGTGGTATCTACCTTGCTGGACTTTTCAACATCTTTGCTAATGAGTTCTGAAGAAAATGGCCAAATATTATATAAACTCAGTTTGTAATGCATAACACTGGTAGTCCTCCTGTATAATAAACAGATTAAAAAACTATTTGAATAGTTTTAGTTTGACTTTGCTTGGTCAAAAAAAAACCAACAAAACTATGTTTTTCTTATATGAAGTACTCAAAAACTTACATATTTTCAAACTTATATAAATTTGCATAGTATTGCACACTACCATTATTTAGTATAGTAATCTTAAGAGAATTTTTCTCCTTTGTCTTGAAGATTATAATAGTAAATCTCTAGGACTTTGATTCTGCCTCTCATACTTTCCCTTTTCTTTCTAAATTACATTGATGTTCTGATTATATCTGCTAGTTCACTGATTGCTCTGGACAGTTATTTAGCAAGTCTTATTTAAGCATGGATGTATAGCCTTCAAATCTTCAAACCAAGGCTGGGCATGGTAGCACAAGCCTTTAATCCCAAGATTTGTGACTCAAAGGCAGGTGGGTGTCTGTGAGGCAAAGGCAGGTGGGTCTCTGTGAGTTCAAGGCAAGCTGAGTCTACAGAGTGAGTTCCAGGGCTACATAGAGAGAACCTGTGTCCAAATCAAAACAACAAACTTCAAACCCTTGTGTTTTCTAATTCACTGACTTACATTCTATGATGAGCTTTGCTAGTACAAGTCCAGCTTTGTCCCTCCAAATTGCATTCATGGTCTTAACTATACCAACAATCTAACACTTGAAAGACAGGGTTTATTTTTTGGAAAAAATGTGAGCCTTCTTTCCCCCCTCCCCCGCACTGTACCCAAGCTAACAAAGCCTCATCATGCTGGAAGGGTTGCTCCACTGTTCACCCTGTCATTGTTACTTATGATGCAACTTTAGCTAATTCCGGGTTATTTGCTTCTTGATTTCTAATTTAAGATTTATGTAATTTGTCTTCAATGTTCTCCAAACTTATCTCCTCTTTCTAAATACATTTAAAAGGCAGTGGCTTGGAGACCACCAACAGGTCCATGATTCCCCATCTTCTCTCAGTACATAGGTCCACTGGATGTTAGAATTCAATTTCTAGCCTTAGTGCCCACCTGAGCCCTATTTGCATTCATAGGCATTGCTTTTAACTGAGCACTACAGAATGCTGACATAAAATTCTATCTATGGTCCCACTCACCTGCTTTGCTTAACAGACCTGGGCTGAGCAGGCTTATTTTCCTAAGGAGCTCTCTATTCCTAAACTAGCAGGCAGTGAGAACCCAGTGAGAATTTAATGCAGAGGACCATTTAATTTAGTTGCTTTTCTAACAAGAGTGAGATAAAGCTTTAAACCTAGGAAGGGCTGAGTACCAAGTACTCTACTTGCAATGAAACACTTTAAATTCAAGAGCTCTGAATGCATTCTCTTAATTATGTAAATCTTCCCATATAAAAAGTTTCTATTAGTTCTCATTTCCACATAGTAAATATTTAGGATAATTCTCTCATACATAAGAGATAAGTTAATATGAAACAAACAATTTCTGAAATTAAAAAAAAACATTAATTGTTTTGTTCTCTTTCATTTGTAGATTTAAGAACAAAAGGAAGAAATTATAAGGCAGGGTGGTGTGTCTGTAGAACCCTCTTAGGTCCCCTAGTGTGAGTGGGGACACAGAGAGAGCTTGTTATGTGGTTATCTAAATCAACAGTTACAATATTAGGCAAATGTACTTTGATGCTCTCTGCTTTCTGCAAATGACAGCCATTGGTGTTCCTAAGAGCTGTTCATATTTCCTGATAATTCTTTTAACGTGAACAGATTTTAACATTTCATAATTTTCCAAGTTAAACTTACTTTATATTTTCCTTCATTTAGACTCCTATCACTTTCATATTATCCTCATAATCAATTATGATGCAAAAAATCCATCACAAACATAAAATTAAAAGCACTACTAACATTTAGACAGGCATGGAAAGGCTTCAAGAGTCTCTTACATGGAAGAGGCTAAAGCTATAGTCCCTTAAAACTTTGCAAGGACCAGCTATTTAAATACACAATAATCTTGGAACCATGAGTTTAATACGAATAAGTATGAGGAAATGTTAGGGTAAATGGCAATATTCTCATCAGCCCATGAGTGAAAGGGGCTGTGGAATTAGCTAACAAAAACTTGACATTACAGAATTACCTTATGAGAGATTGCGGGACACAAATTAGTCTTCCTAGGGTTGTATTTCCATATTACTAAAATACTTCTAGAGAGTAAAATATTTTCAATACTAAACTTATTAAAGGATGACACTTTTGGAATATATTAATTTTTCTGATTTGCAAAATTGATGATAATCTTTGTTGATACCTAATGTCACCCTTTAAATACCTTTAGATGTTGACACAACACTCCTGCAGTACACATAGAGACTGCTGTACCATGCAGGTTTGTTTTGCAGTACAGCCCTCTTGACTATGCATATAGGTGAATGTGACAGATTGATTCTTTCTTCCTCCTGCCCTTTGCAGGACTGGAGAATTTCTCATGGCCCCCTGCTGCTGTTGCCTGCTTTCCTTAACACCACCTTCCAATGGGCAGATTGAGATTTCCAGTACAAGACGAAAATAGGTGATAGGATTTTTCTTTAAACAAGAAAAGGAAAGGAAAGGGAAGGGAAAGGAAGGGAAGGGAAGGGAAGGGAAGGGAAGGG